TATGAAGAGCTAGTTCTGAGATCAGTGGTTTGCAAATGCCAGTAGCTCACTCACTGATGTGCCTCAAGTGGATGCAGGGACTGGGTCAGGCATTATCTGGAAAGGTCTGCCATCAACAGACAAGGTAATGGATAAACACAAAATGACAGCACATTCTACACTAGAGTACAGCTTTGCAAAATGATATTAGAAAAAAGGACAAGATGATGTTTTCTGTGCTTACAGTCTTTTCAGAGTAGGTAAAAACTGGAAGACATTATTTAAAGCTATTGAATTAAAACAACACACAATACCCCAGTAACAATAAGAGTTAGCAGCAGGAACGTTCACTGACAGTCATGAGGGTTAGGAGCACTGTAAGGGGGATGACGAACTTCATTCATTTCAAGTGCCTACAACCATTGGGCTTGTTTTTGGCAGTCGCCATTAAAAAAAGAACTCAAAATATTTACATTTTACCACAGTTTTAAAGTCACTAGCACCTTCTGCAGGGTTCATTTACTCTCAGCTGGGACAAATGTTGGTTTGGCAGGAACTGGTTTACAGTCTTGGTGGACTCCTGCAGAGCTAATAAGTCCAGAAATACTACTTGGATGGAAACGTACGGTCATCACATGATTTTTTTTTTCCTATCCATCCTATAATCTCATGTATAAAAAATAAAAAATGCACAGGGCTTAGACACCCCTTTATTGTATCAAGTTAAATTGGATTTAATGCCTGGTTGTGTGTCATCCAGCTCAGACCCGTTTGGACGAGGCTGTGGAGTGCTGAGCTAGTGCAGATGAATGAATAGCTTTCCCATTACTTCAGCTCCATTCTGCTGTCTCTTTTCCTGTCCTTTGTATTATAATGGAGGACAGCTGTGGCAGTGAAGTGAATATTAACTAACCCCAGTGCCTCAGCAGATTGTGACTTTAATCCCTGCAAATACCACTAAAAACAAAATTTAATTACACTCAGAGTAGCTCTGTTAATGCCTGAAAAATATTTAACAATTAGTGGTTGGCTTAATTAAGCAAACTGCCTTTCACAAAGCAACCTGAAAAGTCCTCCCGAGCCCTTCCCCCATCCATTTTTTTATCCTGTAGACTAATTAGTCTGATGTAAGCTCCCAGCACTTCATTTACTGTTACTGGGTCTGGTGTTTAGACGATGTAGAAAGCTCTGAGCTTAACAGCTTGTAATAGAAGGGGAAGTTGTAAAAAGAAAGAAATTAGGTTCACTGAACAGAGCTACTAAATAAAAAAACTCTTCTTAATAACTCATAATCACTGATAGTCATTTCACTCGTATATATTTTCTCATACGTATAGGAGAGGCTGTGTCTCAATAGCAGTGTCTGTTTTAGGAGATTTAGGAAAGCCAAATAACAAATAAATGAACACAGATACATCCAGCAAAAGAACTATTCGCTGTCCACATAGATTGCAGAATACTGTTTACGTTTAAACTTGGAAGGAAAGGACAGTATATATCTTCACAAACTGAAAAAACCAAGAAATAAAGTACAGAGAAATAAAAAATGATGGAAAAGATAATAAAATTTAAATCCTCCTTTCTGGCTGACACATGGTCCTACCTTACCTGACCTATTTGGTTATGTGTTCATTCACTCATCCGAGCATCAAACATGTATTGATGAGGTAATATGACTTACCGGAGTGACATAGACATGGTTCTGTAAATCCTCATATTGACGCCTATGGAATAGTTTAGGATGCCACCAGGATAGATAATATTAATTACTAAGCTTCATTTTCTTTTTTTCTTGTTTGTTTTTTTTTCTCCAGTACCGGGAACCGAACTCATGACCTTGCGCTTGCCAGGCAGGCGCTTTGCCACTGAGCTAAACCCCCAGCCCCTAAGCTTCATTTTCTACTTGAATTCTTTGGAAAGATCTTGCTACTGAATAATTGAGAGAATAAAACACAGCAACACTTCAAAAGGAGGTCTCTCGTTCAGCCAGCAAAGAACAATCACTCAAGAACCAGAGAAGAGCAGTAGTAAAACACTGTCACAGCAAACCCAAACAAGACCGGAACTGCTGAGGAGCTGAGACTCCTTTGAGCCCAATCTTCTGTTTTGCAGAAAAGGAAACTAAAAATCAGAGAGTACAAGGGAACTTCCAGGGGCAAATGAAGAACTGTTACCAAGTTTTTTATAGAGTTGTCACAGACTCCTGTTCCAGACCTGTTTCCCTTTATCTGACACTGGTCACAATTATACCAAGATGCATTATTTGTTTCCTCAAATTGCAGAAGATTAGAAGCCACAAATTTGAGGCTAAAGTAAGGTTTCTGGAGACCTAGTGTTCAGAGGCTGTGAAACATGAGAACACATGATAACATTCGGAGCGTGCTAACTAAAAATTAATCTGAAAAAAGGTGGTCTCTTGGTAACACTCAACCCCAGAGAACAAATAAACATTATAATAGTCTTAATTTTACAATGCAGACTTGCACTGCCTCCACTCATTGTGTGAGATGTGTGTATGTATGTGTGAGAACAAGAGAAAGATAAAAGAATGACAAAAAAGTTTAAGAAAACAAACTGATTTAATATTTTCCCCTGCTGCCAGCAAGTTCTCACTAAAAATTTTAGTGTAAATGATATGTTTATTTTTCACTCTAGGAAACAATGACCTTGTAATCTCATCTTTATGGGACTTTTTACCTATGTAGGGTTACCCTTCTATGCCTGTCTATTACTCTCTATTTAAGATTACTGCTATTTAATTCAATAATGGAGTGAGTCTTGTTTATGTGTAGGTTTTGAAAAGGATGTGTTATGCACACCCACACCTACTTCTGCCAAGTTTCCAACACCATATAATTTTGTACATTTTTACTTAGTTGGTGGACTATACCTCAAGTCTCAGGGTTGGTTGAGGATGGAGATGAAAATTGCAGTCCATAATACAGAAGAGATGGTACATCTGGGTTGGGATGAAGAACTGTGCCATGTCTTCCAGGTGGATAAGTCCTTCAGATAAAGCAATTTAACTTTGAAATAGAGGAAGCAGCATGTTATATCTTAAAATTGATATCTTTGGAAAGTGTACATTAAGATGATGATATAATTGAATCAAAGTCTTTGTATGGGTTTTGTAGGGATAATTGTGCTTTGATGGTATATAGAAATTGTGTTTCAAATTCTTTTGTCTATTAGTCACACATGCATATCTTCATGTTTTCTAAAATGTATGCTCCATAACTATTAACCAAATGTTCACGCACTATCAAATTCTTTTTCTTCAGTGTTTTCTCATTCAAAAGCACGTAATGACTCTTTTTAATGATACAAATAATCCACTTCTAAAGGACTATTATACCTTTTTTCTATTCCTGAAAATCATTATTGCTCTCCGATTCTTAGTTAAATGTAATACAATTTCAAAATACTATAATATACTTAAATGATCCTTAAGTTTTTTATGAAAGAGCAGCATTACAAGTCAACCAAAAATTACCAGTCAGTTCACTTCAGTTTAATTGTCAATTTTTTTTTTTTGCAAAAACTGAATGGAAACGCTCTTGTATTTGAAGTAAGCCCATTTGCGTGTGCAGCATTCTCTTTTGACTCTGAAGATCATTTGAAAACAAAAAAGCTTGTCTGTGCTTGTTTTCAATTTGCAAAATGTCAGCTGCATCCATGAAGTGGCACTGAGCCCCATCATCTTGGTAATAGGAAAGAACTGCTCTCTCTGGGAATTGTAATAAATCTTTCACGTTCCCAAGTATCCCTTCATTTTTATATGCAAGAATTTAGCTAGCAGGGTGCTGGCAACATAAATATAACACCACCTCTTCCTTACCACCTGCATTTCCTACACACACACACACACACACACATACACACACACATACTTTTCTTCCTTTTACTTTCCTTACCAGTGCTTTTGGAAGAGAAGAGAAACATACTTTTAACTATATTCAGTTTTTTTATAATTTAAATTGCAAGATGCTCTATGTTTAACTAAAACTTCAGAGGTTTTATGCAAAAATGCTATAACAATAAAAACGTGGTTTCACAGAATTGGATATTCCAAGAACATGTAAAAATCACCACTACTGTGTATGAAAGTTGAATACTAGAAACACTAAAGAAACTTTTGCATAAAATAAATAACAATGATAATTTAAATAATGAAATACCGCATATATTTAAAAATTATCAGTCATCTTTCTTAAAATAAAGTTGTATAACTCATAAAACATCAATTGCCCAATATGTAGCCATACTTAATTTCACAACAAATATTCAAAGGCAGAAAATGTTCCCTGATTTTTCAACAATTTTAGTCACATTATTAGGAATATGCATACAAGTTTCTTTCAGTTAAGCATTAGGATTCAAGTTGTGTCTTGAATCTCATTTCCCTTATAATCATGAAATTATTTTGCTTGCATGCATTGATTTTGATTTTGTAATTGAAATTAATAATGTTTTTGTTAGTAGAGATTGTGGAACAATTTCTGAATTTATGTTGGGGTATTCCACAATAGCATCTCTTGTATTTTTATTTTACCTACTCAGATATTTATAAAGAACTATATCATAGAATACATATTCAATCTCTAGAAAATGCCAGAGAGTGCTATTTAGGGAGTATTCAAATCATATAATATTCAGGAGTAAGGTTAATTCCAATACACAGAGTGGCATGTTAAAATTGCTAACTTAAAAATTTACTTTGGTTTTAAAACTTAATCCTTAGAACACCATTCATAGGATATATATGAAGCTTATCATGTAAATAAGCTCATAATTTTGATATTATTTAGAAAAATGACTCATTGCTGGGTTGTTAGGGAAAGGAACATACTCTAACAGCTACCTGTAATACTTGTCTCCCTAAAGTACCCCATTTCTGATTTCTGGGAATGTCAGTCTGCCGCAGTCCTGCCGCAGCAGATCCAGGAGATTCCTGCAGGAGGGAACAACGCGGTCGAAGAGACAAACAACACAGACACCAGATGTCCTTCTAATGGGCCAGGGGAGCAAGGCTCCTCTGACGCAGAGAAATGTTTTTTGCTTTATTGTATACTTTTGCAATTACTTATGAAACTTGACAGGTTAAACAGTTTTTGCTTAGATACAATGCGGTTTCTATTTTGGTTACAGGTTCAGACAAGGTTGACCTGTCCTCTGGCCACAATCCTAGCAAGAAATCAACTTTTCTAAAGCACATAAAAGGACACTAAAAGATCAGTCACTAAGTGTCTTGATTAGGTGTAATTTTTCACAGAATTGTTCACTTGTCTACTGGACAACAGGACTCACATTTATAATATCTCCATCTAGAGCCAGCCCAGCACACAGGGTGTTCGCCCGATGTTTTCCCATGCACTGAAGTTTGCGCACGCTCCCTTCTTGTTCTGGTGGGTGAACATTGCCATACAGGAGGTAGGGGACCGATGCAAATCTCTGTGATGACTTTTACTCCCTCTTTCAACCTTGAAAGGGTGCCTTTTATGCTGGGCTTTGATTCCTTGACTACTTTCAGTTCCGATCCTTCAGGTCCTCAGCTGTCCTTTATCAATAGCACAGTGAATATCTGGAAGGCTATGATTAAAAAATGTCAAGGATCTAAGCATAAATACAGAACTATAAAATTCATAGAAGAAAATTTCATGACCTAGGATAAAATTATAAATATCAATGTTACAAATTAATAGAATTCACTGTGACATTTCCACACATGTCAAGCTTTAGTTGTATCAGCCTTCCCTCCTACCCTGTCTGCCCTCCCTGCTTTAACACCCTCCTTTTGCCTTTCTCTTCTCTAATAGTAGGTGACAATTAAATATAACACTTACAGTACCAGCAACTAAAGAAAAGGAACTTAAATTGGACTTCATCATAATTTACAATGTTTCTTCTTCAAAAGACTCTATCAGGAAAGTAAGAAAAAGCTACACAGTGAAATAAAATTTTTGAAAATCATAGATCTCACAAGAATTTAGTATCTAGAACACATAAAGATCTCTTACAGTTCAATAGTAACAAGCCAAATATATTAATTAAGAAACGGGAAAATTTAAGTAGATATATTTTCAAAAGAAGATACACAAACCCCATGAAAGGTGTTCAGCATGAGTCACTAGAGAGATACAAACAAGACAGTATTCGTTCACAGTAAGATCGCTACCATTAAAAAAGATGGACAAAAATAAATGTAAGTAAAGCAGTGGAGAAGTCAAAACCCACATCACTGCTGATATTAATGTAAGATAGTATAGCTATCTTGGAAAAAATTTTGGTAATTCTTCAAACCAATAAAGTGTTACACTACTACCCAGCAATTCTACTTCTAAGCATGTAACAAAGGGACTCAAAAACATGTTCACACAATTTATTGTACATAAATATTCACAACAGCATATTCAATAGTTCCAATTTGGAAGCAACTCAACTGTCTATTAGCTGATAAATGGATAAACAAAATATGGTATAACCAGTTAAGTAAAATATTCATCCATGTTTTGATACATGGTATAACATGGGCAAATATTTCAAATACTTTGCTAAGTGAAACATTAGAATAAAATGTCATATATTATATTATTCTATTTATATCCATAGTAGGAAAATCTGCATAAAGATAGGAAATAGAGTAGTGGTTATCAGTAGTTTAGAGAAATGCAGTGACTTCTAATTGGTACAAGTGAATTTCTTTCTCAGTGATAAAAATTTGGATTATATCTTATACAATGTTTAAAACTGTAAGGTAAAATTCTATACAGGGTTGAGCTTTTTATTTTGTATTTTATAGCTTTTTTTAATGTTACAATATAAATAAATATGCATGGAGTACTTATGTAACATGTGTACAGTAGGTTCCCGACAGGAGTTCCATTCAGGTACAATGAAACATAGGTTGGATTTGTTTGTAAGTCTGACGAAGTGAGTCTGATACTCCTTTGAGACAAATATACAATGTAAAGCATAAAAAACCAAACACACTCCCACAAAAAGAACGAGCGACATCTACCATCTTTTCACCTCAGTCCAGTCTCTCAATTATTTTCCCTTCTGTTTCTGTGGTTATCACTTTGCACCTCCTAGCAGTCTCCTCCACATACTATTGCTTTTTGTCTTGCTTTGCACATCCTGGGCTTGAATTGAGCACTGTACCACCGTACACACAGCGGCACAATTATGAGCTACTTCCATGACTTGCTTTCACCTTGGTCCGCAAAGTTAGTTTGCTCCACACTTCTGGAAAAGATGCCATATTCATGTTCCTGTGGGAAGGAAGACTGCGATCACGTTCCTCACCTGATGAAGAGTTCACAAACAAATACAGACACTTTGCCAGACACTTCTGTTTGTGAACCAAGTTGGCCACAAACAAGTGTTTGTGAACTGAGGAACACTGTATACATAATTCTTTTTAATAAGCTCAGACATTGTTATAGGAGCACAAATGCACCAAAAGTAAAATTGGTGTAAGAGAAGAGGGGAGTTGCTAACAAATCTCTGCGAATGTGGCAGTGGATTTGGACTACAGTAGCAGTACAGGCCAGAATCGTTCTCAAGTGAGTCCTAGAGAAAGGCTGGATTTCTGTGAGCAGAGCGTTGCAAGCAGTTCTGTTGATGGGATGATGGCAGATGGGAGCTGTAGAAACAGCTCCTGTCTTAGAGATTACATAAGTGGTTGTGAACAGAATGTTGATAGAAATATGAATATGAAAGACCATTATGATGACAACTTAAACGGAAATGAGAAATATCCTAGTGGAAACGAGAGGAAAGGTATCCTTCCTTCAGAAATGGCAAAAAAAAAAAAAAAAACAAAAATGTTGAATTGTGTCCATGCAATACAGCTTTGTGGAAGGAAGAGTTTAAGAACAATGCACTAGGATATGTGACAGAACTCTCTAAACGATGTGGTCAGGGTGTTGCCTGACTTCTGTGAACTGCTTACACTAAAGTGCAATATGAAAGAGAGAGTTAAAAACAAAATTTATATGCAAAGGAGAATATTTAAAGAAAATATCTGGATATGTTTTTCTCAGTCTTGCCATGTAAAGAATTATGTGGCATATTTAGGACAGTAAAGGGAAATGTATGGTCATGTGACTCTGGTAGAATTACTGTGGATAGAAGAAAGCTGGATGCTCTTCATCAGAGGGATAGAACAATGACCCCTAAGCCTTGCACAGACCCAGGACACTGCAGCTCTCATCACAGAGCACTAGAGCTTGAGGGCAGCATTGTTAGACTGGAGGGGCCCAAAGTGCTCATGCTAACTTGGCCCCCTGCCCTGGGCTGCTTTGGGTTTTCACCCCCTTCATCCCCACACATAGTTCTTGGCCACAGCACCTGAGTTTCAGGTGGGCCCTGTGGCAGCTTGGACTACTGTCCTGCATAGTGAGGCTGTAAACTATGACACAGACCCTGCAGTCACACAAAGCACAAGAGCTTTGGAAACATAGCTACTTCCATCTGGATTTCAAAGGATGGGACAGAGACCGTGAATAGGGCCAAGCTTAGAGATGCTGTGAGGACAGGATGGCCTCAACACCTCAGAACTGTAGACCAGCATGTGCAAAAACATCCTTGGAGAGCTACAGGGAGGAGACTCCAACATGAGAAGTGTAGCACTGACTGCACCCAGCAAAACCATGGGGTCAAGTAAACCAGGGACTGGAAGCAATCCCTAGTCGGGTGTGTCCAGGACATGGAGTCAAAGATTTCTCTCAAGATCTAAGATTTAATGCTTGCTCTGTTGACTTTTGGATTTGGTCATGCCCTTTTATTCCTTATTTTCTTTCCTACTTTTCCCCTGTGAAATGGGTGAATTTATCCTAAGGTCCCGTCACTGCCCTTGGGAGGCACACAACTTGCTTGAATTCATAAGCTCACAAGTGGAGAGTAGTCTGCCTCAGGATAAATCACGTTTGAATCTCACAGACCCGTGGCTTAGGTGATATGTAAAGGACCCTTTGGATTAAATTTTAAAGTTAACGCTGAAATGAATTAAGACTTTTGCTCGTCACTGGGATTCTGTGAATACAGTTTTCATGTGAGAAGGATCAATGTTGGAAGCCCCATGGAAGAACTATGGTTTGAATATTTTTATCCTTACAAACGTTGATGTTTCAATAGTAGATGTGGTCTTTAGGAAATGACTAAGTCATCAGGGCTCTCCCTGCATGACTGGAATTAGATGCCTTTATGAAAAGCATTGATGGAAGGAGCTGACCCGTGCTTCTGCCCTGTTCCATGCCTTCCACCGTGTGCGGACTCTGAGATGCCCACATTTACGAGAAATGGGCCCTCACCAGACACTGACCCTGATGTTGCCTTTGTCTTGAAATTCTCAGCCTCCAGAACTCTGGGGACTAAATCCCTGTTCTTTAAAGCAGTTCAGGTTCAAGTATTTGTACAAACAAGACTAAGAGAATGAAGATGGGACTGTGACATTTTTATATAGGAGTTTAAGCTCATTCCCAAGGGCTCCATTGCAAAGATTTGTATTTTATAGGATCAGTGTATTGCTATGGAATAAATGAAGGCAGTATCTGAGTATCTACTTTTCTGCATCATCACACAGATGTGTATGGCTTTTGCAGTGGCATGTTGAGCTTGGCACTATCATGAAGACTATTGGTTATTGACAAAACTGCGGTTAGTGGTAAAGTCAATTTATTATCAGCAGGTACTCTTTTGTTTCTGAATTAATTCACTTTATAGTTATTTTCTCAAAATACCATGTATACTTCCAATACCCAAAATACCTCCCATTCATTCAGAATTGATTTTAAAGGAAGCTAATACCATGTATACTGCCATCTTTCCCAGAGATACTATTTATAGTTTATTAGTAGATTTGTATATGATACAAGTTTAAATTCCCAACATATGAAATCCCAATAGTCTTATTTTAGACATTTTGTTGGGGAGTGTTTTGGCCATTGCATTATATCTATTTTCTAAAATCATATCAAAGACAATCAATTAGTAATAAAAACTTCAGACTCCAATATTCACCATTATTTCATCATGAGTGAAATCAGTTTCTGGGTTAAATTGCACGTATTGTTGAGGTTTGAACCATACCATGCTAGGCAAATGTTCTGTCGCTAACCTGCATCCCCAGCTTTTCTTGTTTTCATCTTGGGACAGGATCCTGCAGTGTTGTTCAGGGTGGCTTCAAACTTGCATTCTTCTGCTTCAGCTGTCTGAGTAGCTAGGACTAAAGCCACGTGCCAACATATCTGGCTAAACTCCCTGTATTTGATCGTAGCCTCTGCTACATCCTTAATTATGATTTCCCCAGTAACTGCTTTATACATAAATTTCCTCATCTATAAAATGAAAATGGCAGCCTGGGTTTTACAAGAGATGTTGGGAGAAGTAAAGATAACTTATATAAAGTATTTGGAACAATGTCTAGCACATACTTAGTGATGAATATTAGTTTTATTATTTTTTATCCTTTTATTTTAATTTGGAATTGGTATAATATCTTTCTTATAAAAATGCTTTGTTCACTCTGTTGCCATACTTGGGACACTTAAAAATTCTTATTTCTCTAGAAACTATTACAGGCTCTGCTTCTATAGAGTAACCAAATCTTTAGGTGCAAATTTATTATTATTTGAAAAATAAAATATTGCTCCTGAATGGACAAAAAGCAGAACAGTTTTTGTATTTCTTTACTAGAAATTATTTTTTAAAATCTGCACATATGCCAAGGTGTTTGCAGAGATAATTCAATATAATTACACTGCTAGGTTCTTAAAATATTGTGTAAATAATATCATGTATAATATATTTGATTTGGAAGTTGGTCAAAACATAAAGATGCTGTCCTCTTAGATTAGGGTCCAAATACTGATGTGCAGTAAGCTTAAGAAATCTACAGGAATGTAATACAAAATGAAGTTTTATAGCACTTCATGTTTGAAATTAACTTTAGCAACTCAATAGGAAAATGGAAGTGTTTGTTTATCATTAATTGCTTACCATATATCAGGCAATGTGCTGAGTACTGCACATGGTTTATTTTATTTAATCATCAGAATGAGCCTTTGACATTAGATGCTATTAAAGCCCTATTATATGTGGATAGGGAGATTCAGAGGGGTAAAATGTTTCAACCAAGGTTCTAGGTAGTCACTGCCTCTATTTTTTTTGTTTTTGTTTTTGTTTTTTCCGTTACTGGGAATCGAACTCACGACCTCGTGCTTGCCAGGCAGGCACTGTGCTGCTGAGCTAAATCCCCAGCCCCCAAGTCACTGTCTCTTGCTCTTGCTTCTTGAGACATCATGCTATAGTGCTCTGAAATGCATTTCCCTTTGGCTTACTTCGATATAGTCACAGGTATCCATTTTTTTTCTGCACAGTGCTTTTGTGTCTTGTTTCTCTCACTTCAGAAGATCTTTTTTTGTCCCAAGATCGTACACTTGTTTATATCTGTTCACTTTAAAAACACATTCTTTCACATTTACATCAGAGATCCACGAATTTCTACATGTATGCTCAGGGTGTAGTAATGACTTGCTGTTTTTCTTAGTTGAGTATGAATTTTCCCAACACAATTCATTGTTCGCCTATTTGCCAGATTCATTTGAAATGCTTTTTAAAGGTAAATGTACATGTCTGTGTAATTTTATCATACTATTTTAGCTACTGTGTTATAATATTTTCTGTCAAGTGAGGAAATCCTCAGCTTTGTTATTTTTTCAAATTGTAGGCTATTTTTGCACGTTTCTAACTAGATATATTCTGAGAATCAGTGCTTTGAAGGCAAGTGATCAGTCAGATTCTTCTTCGGATTTAACAGCAGTACTAGGGTTTACCTATTGTCTTCCCATCTGAGCTCGTCTTTTCATACCTCACTCTGGGATCTGAACACATTTCCCAGATTCAGTGCTAGCTGGCTTCCTGTCAGTTTGTGCCAATGGGAGTAGCTCACTTGATATTTGAAGGAGGAAGAGGAGCCCATGGATGCATGCCCATTTTTCTCTTAGGTTTGCAGGAGTGAAAGACAGTGAAGGTCTGACTTCCAATTCATTTTGGTGCTCTCAGCACTAATAGTCCATGTCGTTCAGTGGTCCGACACCAACAGTAACATCCCCCCTCAAGGGTGGGGTGTTCATCCTGCCAACCACCTCACTTCCTGCCCTCCAACAGCATGTGTGCCCATGTTGCTGACTTGGGCAGACTAAGTGTTGGAAGGTAGGCATTATCTCTCAGAGGACCACTTCCCACTGGCAGGCAGTGTTTGCAGAACTCCGAACTGCAGCCATGGAGGACACTCAGAGATCTGAGTGCCAGACCTGCCCCTTGAGTCAGGGGTTTCTCCTCAAATCTGCTATTTTCTGATAAAATTACATGTCCTACTTAGTTGTCCCAGCCTGAAAGCTGCTGACAGCTTTTTTCTGATTTCTTGATACGACCTTTGCTCCCTGTTTTCAGACTTTCAACATCTGTATAACTAACTCTACTTGAAGTCACTTGGTAAAATCTACTCTGGCTTCTGTTTTTTTGTCTGGTCTCAGGTTTAAACCTACAATGTCTAATTCACTAAATATTAGCTGAACAGTGCATGTGATATGTTTCAGCTGAATTATAAATTTCATTTTCTCTTATACTCTTCCTTTGGTTCAGTATATTGTATAATATTCTCATGAGACAAATACTTCTCTTTCAATATTTTTTGTGCAATGAAAATTCTAAAACTTAAAAAAAAATCTTTTCTTTCTTTTATTTTCTAAACCTTAGTGATCCAGAGTGCTATTTTAGAACTATGTATAATCAGGCCAAAAGTTAAAGTGGAAAATATCTGTTATTCAAAAATATTTTTTCTAAGTATCAAGTTAACTTTGTACCTTATTTTGTGGGTAAGATAACTTACAAATAGTTTATTTCTTTCTTAGATAATATTTTTAAAAGGTCTTTTGAGTCAGACCAATTAAACTTCAACTCATACACATATGTAAAAGTAAGAAAAAAGATACCTATATAACTTAATGGGTTGAAATATCATTAAGGAAAACTACTTTGAAGTTTAAAAGAGAACAGATGGAAGATTCACATATTTTTGGACATAATTCTGGTACAAAGAAGAAATGTAAAAAATAAAACACTGGCCAGAAATTAGACTCAATTTAAAAATTCATGAATACTTCAGAAATTCCAGCAATTCTAGACTGGAAAAGAGCTTGGTATTAAAGGATATATACTCTTATACAATATACATTTAGGAATTCTATGCATATTTTAAAATTATATGTATATATATATCCTGTATATTTATCGCCAGTCATGCACTAGGTAGATGTACCGTATTAGCAGATTTTGATGACTTGTGCAAAACATTAAGAAGTAATTAGGAAGTCCAAAGCTAGTCAGCACATTAATAGGTCCAGAAAGTTCATATTGACTTCCTTATACTTGCTAGGTACACTCATTTTCTTGGAATGGTCAGCTCTTTAAATACTGAAAAATCAGTTTAGTTTGAAAAATAATTCTATAGTGTTATGAATATATGCACAACTGCACTTGCCTCATTATTTTGTTTGTAAATTTTTTCTGGGTATTGTAATCTCACTTCATTTAGTATTTTTATGAATTTATTGGTGTATTCACAAATAAATGATTGACTCCTATCTTTGTTACTTTCTCAATGGTGGGATACAATATCTGAGACTCACAACTCAAGAAAGAAGAGATTCACTTGGGATTACATTTCAGAAGTTTTAGTCCATTTTTGGCAGGCTCAGACTCAGAAAATATCATGCTGAGGGGGCTTGGATGAAAGAAACCTGCTTACATGATGGTAACCAGGAAGTAGAGAGAAGGGTGAGGAGATAGGGAGATATGCCCTTCTAGGTCATGCCCCAGTAACTCACCTATTCTGGCCAGACCCACCTTCTCTAACAGCAAGTTAGCTGTCTCTCCTGGTGATTCAATTATCGTACAAAAGCCCTACCTCTGGCACATGAGGCTTTTGGGGGACACGTAGATATAAACCATGACATTCTCCTTTTAACCTGTTTTTAATTTGAGCTCCAAAGTGTCCAAAATGATTAGTTAATAACCAAATTTTTTCCTGAACATTGAATATCATAGCAGCTTGTGACTTAAACCAAATAAATTGGCATTTTATTTTTTGTACACAAAAGTATTTTCCTCCTGAAAAAGTAGCTTAATAGAATCGTAGTAAACTTTTTTTTTTTTTTTTTGGTTTTTCTCCGGTACTGGGAACTGAACTCACGACCTTGCGCTTGCCAGGCAGGCGCTTTTTGCCCCTGAGCTAAATCCCCAGCCCCCATAAACTCTTTATAATATATCATTTGTACTTGGTTGCATTCAGCTTTGATTAAAAAAATTCTTTGTAGCATATCACTTGTAACAAAACATGACCCCAAAGGATTCAGAATATTATCACAAAACAAGACATGGAGACAATTCTTGACATGGTAAGTATTTGCAAACCCCTGGGGATGCAATAGAACAATTTCCAATTACTGGTATAGCTAAGAAGTTAGGTCAACATTTCAAATTAATTTGCTTTTAAATTCTTTCAATTCTCAGTTAAAATCTGTGCAAAGTAAACTAAGTGAAATAAATAGTATCAGAGATTCTTATGTAAATCTTTTCATTTGGTAGTCAAAATTGTATTAAGTATTAAATTGATCTAGAACATTCATGTTAACTTCTCTGTTCTTGTATTCAAGTCAAGAGTAATTTGTTATGATTCAGTTAAAATATACATGTCCTTTTAATTCTAATTCATTGACATCTCAGCTTTTCATTGATGATAGAGGAATGGTCATTTGAGGAAAGCTGCTGTGTCTACAGTTGTTGATAACCCTGAAGAGTGAACTAGACTCCAGCAGCTGTGCGATACAGTGACTTTTGTCTAATTGTGCCAGTGTAATCTGCAGGCAGCAACTCATAAGCATAAAAAGTCTTTAAAATTTAACATATTGAGTGTGTCTTTTTATTGATCAAATTAATTGGATGATTTCCAAATCTCCACTTTACTGAGTATTATATTGACATAACCTTTGACCAAGAAGCATATTGATTTGAAAATGTCCTTTAATATAGACAAAAAATCAATTTAGTTATTTTAATAAATATAATTCTTTGAGCAAAATAGTTGACTGAGCAATTAAAGGTATCTATCCTCATTACTGTGGTGGGGAGCAGGGAGGTAGAATTTAACACGGACTTTTGACACCATTTGACCTATGCGGAAATTGAATTTAAGGCAAAAGAAACAATATGGAAACTTTACACTTATGAAGGAATGTTGTATTATAAAAACAGAACTAACTCTAGAAATTTATCACATATTGTTATGCAGATCAGTAACAGATAAGACAAAATGTGAATTTCATGCTCTTAATTTAAAGAAACATTTTCTTGAAAAGACTGTGACTGAATTGTCATCAGAAGTCTGTGCCAACTTTTTGATGATGAACACATGGGTGAGAAGCTTACCTTTCCTGTTTAGCAGTCATTTAGCCTCTCTGTGCCTCACTTTTTTTCCTCTTTCATAAAATTAGGACAATATTAGTACTTACCTTGTAGCGTTGTTGTGAAGATATTCTAAATTAACACAGAGAGAAGTAAGTTAGCATATAGAAATGAGCACTCAAAGAAATAAATGCTCAATAAATTTTAGTAATATTATAGTTTCATTTTGAAATGACAAATACATACTCCATTTGTTTCCTAATGAATTATTATAATATTAAATTATTATAATTATAATATATTAAAAGCTACATTCTGGAAAAAATTTAAATTGAAACACTTATTTGATGGTTTTGATAATGTTGCATTCATTTATTTTCATTGTTTAAAAATCTATTATTAGAGTGGTTACTCCAATTAATAGTTTGATTGCATGTGAGATAACTATCTATAAACATCTCTACATAAATGCAGAGGAGAATATGCAAAAAATAAATAAGCTCAACACATATTTAAATTTAACTCACACTTTTACAGTCCTTGAAATTATATTATATGCAGATAATAACCACTGAATATGAACTCAACCAAAAGTTTAACTTTAATTCACATCTTTAAAGCTTATTTAAAATGATTTAATGAATTGTATGAATCTGGTTGATGTGATTAAACTATATTTATTAAACTATATTTATAAAAATAGAATGTCTTGAAAGCAATATTTTGAGTAAAATTTGGACATACTGCTTCTAACTGTAATCTAAACTCCATAGTCTAGACATTCATATACCTGCTAAGTGGAACAACTTTGCCTCTACTAAAAATAAAGTGAACGTTGATTTGAACGCTTGGTTGATTAAGAGCAGTAGCACTAGAACTAAGCAAGTGCTTTTAAATTCCATGTCTCCTCAAAAATATTACACATATTTTCCAATGATGTTTGCTCTGAGCACTGGTGATTCACATCATCATGTAATTTTTTAAAAAATGACCATATGCAGATAAAATACAAATTATTTGTGAGTTAGTAATGTTATTTTACATAATTAAGTTATCATGATTTTGTTTTTTCAACAGAAGAATGAAAGCACATCTATACTCTTTATAACAGATGACCAAAATGTATTAAATTGTGTTTCCAAATGAGGACAGAAGATTGGTATATGTACCAATCTTATTAGAGCAGAAGCGAATCTAAAATACAATCTCTTGAGTTCAATTATAAAGCCCATATGGTTGAGTGAATGCATGGTAAAATGTGCAACTTCATTACCCTTTAGAGGCACTACAAATTTCAGCTTTGATTCAAAAAACATTCAGATTGCTAATGTGATGTGTACACTGCTAAAAGGCTAATATTGCTGCATGAAGTAATATGAATGGGCAAGTGGAAACATCTGTGTTTTTTTCCGCTTAAAGAGTGTGGCCTTTTAATTCAAGGGCATAGTTGTGCACAGGATAAAGCCTATAATAATAAGTAATGCTTATGTTAGGGAACATAGTGAAGAATGATAGCAAAAGAAAACCACACAGTACCATTGGAATTAAACAGGTTATAGCATGACAGCTATTGCCAGTATAAACTTACTCTTGAGATCAGGAAGAAATGCTGAGCTCCCATTTTAAGGACAGTTTTCCTGCTTGGAGGGCCCAAGGGAGATTTTCATGGGTGTGGGTTTCCAGGTTAAAGAATGCACATGTGCAAGACATCAGCAACAACAGCAGGTAGCACAGAGCAGAGCAAAGTGAGAGCAGAAGAGCAGCCTGCATCTTTATTGTATAATTCTTATGCAGGTTGCTATCACGTACTTACATTCTTATATAGTGCCACAATAAGCACATGCATGTTTACTTGTGCTAAATCATGATTACATAATTGTATCCCACTGTGTGCTTGTGCTAGATAGTGGGGCCACGTTTTCAGGTTTGCTTAGATGCCTCTGAGCTTCGAAGCAGTCTGAGTGGTTTCCCACAAGAGTACATTATTCGAAAATCTCTAGATGGGCCTTTAAAAAAATGAGATGAGTACTAAGAACAGGCTTAAGTATGTACAAAACTAAGCCAAGAAGACTTAAAAAGCATCCAATATCAGGCAGTAAATTGAAGCAGTAATAAAAAAACCTACCAACTAAGAAAAGCTCAGGATCTGATGGATTTATTTCTTAATTCTATAAAAACTTCGAGGAAGATATAATGCCAATTATTCTCAGACTCTTTAACGAAATGGAAAGGGAAAAAATACTCCCAAAGTCATTCTTGGAAGCTAAGACAAAACCAGACAACTGAATATGAATTCAAGCTACCAAAACCCCTGCAGAGAGTTCAGGTCTCCCACTTGGCAACATGGCGCATGGTGCAAAATACAGACAGAGGAAGTTCTGCAGGTGAGGAGCTGGGATGACCAATGTTCTCCGTGGAACAAAAGGCCTCAGGTCCAAAAGCTGATGGCTTTTATTGGTATCAATCAGGAAAGGGGGGCCATGGCAGCGTGCTAGGGAAAAGAAACTTTGCTGGCATTGGCTATCAGGAGAAACAGAAATTTTGTATCAGGGCAGAATTGTTCCATTTAACAACAAAATGGATAACTTGATGTGTGCAAGGCTGGCACCTTTATTGCCAAGAAGGTATATTCTTTCTGAGTCCTGTGGCCTCAGCTGAGATGTTACCTCAAGAATATGTATTATTTTAAGCTGCTACATTTGAGGGGACTTGTTGCATAGCAGTGGAAAACTAATACATAGTAATTGAAAACATTTGCTTTTTGGACCACAGCACATTACTTTATTCATTTATACATGTATGTGTTTATTTTGGATTAGTGGGATAAAATGTAAGTAGTTCACAACCTATGGCTTGTGTGGTTAAATGTTTGCTGGCCCTTCCAGTGTAGAAAGACATGGCCTCTGGGTTGCCCATGGTGCCAATTCTTTCACGATATGAGCACAGAGGGAAGAATCAGAACTCTCATCTTGATCTTTGCTATCAGGTATAGAAGAGAAATGAAATTTCAAATGTACGGAGCCAAAATTATTCTGTGGAAAATCCATAAAATATCTGTGCTTAATACCTGAAATAAACATGACAAAAATTCTTCCAAATGTGATACAGCACTAAGAAGCATTAATGAGTTTTGAAGTTGAAAGTAAATATTCTAAGATAAGGAAAATAAAAAGGAATTTGATCAATCAATAATTCCACAAGAGAAGCTAAATTGTCTTTCTGTTTTCATTATAAGAAACAGTATATAAAGATGAATATTATGGAAGAAGCTTTAAAAGGTTCTATAGCTAAAGTTGTGATTTAATGTTGATGGTACTTTTGAATTTGTAATATTTATAATATTTAAAAATTTTTTGACATACTATTTGCTTTCACATCCATGTGAAAATTATAATATTCTAAATTCTTTTTTTTAAATGGGGCATTCAAAATCATGTTGGCATCCCACAATAACTAAATTCATTTCTATGTACTAAACAGGAGAGCAACAATATTCTAAAATGCTGTTAGCAGCTATAGTAAGAGGAAGGCAGATTATGGTTCATTAGAATGGACAACATAAAATTATTGCTGATTTCATTAAGAAGTATATCAGAGGGTTGGCCTGACCAGAAGGCAGAAGAATAGAGTGGACAATGAATGAGAAATACTGTAGCATGGTGGCTATTGACAAGTCTTGTGAACAGCTTGGCAGTGAGCTTTGGCAAGTAGATTAGGTAGCAGATGGAGGGGTATGTGAGGTCATGGGAGTTTTCTTTTTTGATAGAAGCAACTTTGTATGCTGGTCATTGTGTTCTAATAGGAAGGGGATAGTTAGGGCCTATTCACGATTCAGGCTGTACAGGATAACTGCAGTATCTTTCAGAATGCTTCTCAGTGATTCTCTTGGTGTTTGTAGTCTTGCATAGACCCCTGTCAGCTGAACCAAGGTCTGTGGTAATGGGGTAGTCACTTCCAAAATTAGATTATAGTAGACTACAGCAACCACTAGCACCAACCGCTGTCTGTGTGTCTCTTTCTTACTATCTCCTCTCTCTCATTACTTGTTCTGGGGGAAACAATCTGTCGTATTTTGAGCAGTCCTATGGGAGGCCCACATGACAGCTGACCGAAATCCAGGCCTGCAGTGAGAAACCGCATGAGCTTGGTGAAGTGCAGTCTCTGGGCCCAGTCCATCAGGGTTGTGTTCACAATCCCGGCTAATAGCCTGATGACCAACTTGTGAGCATGCTTACCTGAATTTACCCTTGTAAACCACTCTTGAATTTTTGATTCTCAGAAACTGAGATTAAAAATAATTGTTGCTTTCAGCTGGTGTGTTTCAGAATAATTTCTTATGCAGCAACAGATAAATAATATGGAGCAGGAGAAAAGTCCTTAAGAAGACAAACTAGAAAGTGCTATATAACACAAATGGATAGGTTGCCTGTATTAGAGTCAGATAGATGGTCTGATAGACTGTCTGTATTAGAGTCAAAGATGTTTTTTTTTTTTTTTTAATAGGAGAGAAAATAGAGCATATGGGTACAGATGTACATGAATTTGTAGTTGGCTGGATCATTAGAAATTCTAATTTTATTGATTTTGTTTTCTCAATTAAATATGATACAAGATTTTAAGTTGTGAGTCATGTGCAAAGGAAATGGAATGGATGAGATGCTTACAAACCACATAGAGGAAAAAGTTGACATTATAAAGTTGGAGGACAAGAAAGAAAACTATATGAAAATATAGTAAGGTCAAGGTTAGTGTTAAATTTTGTTTGGTTTATGTACTGGGTTAAAAGTGACTTCAGTCAACCAACTGGGTGATTTTTCTGCAACAGTATTTAGTTGCTTGTGTTCAGTGATAGAGAAAGCACTTTTCTGTGCTTAAATATAGTCGATGTCTGCTAACTTGATGCAACACAGGCAGAGAAAACAGAGAATTGAGGGAATTTGTAAAGGAAGAACTTCCAGAAAAAAAAAAAAAAAAGGAGAGCAGAAGGGTGAGCAAAGGTGTAAGAGTGGTGACATAGTTAATGACTGGGGATGTTTACCTAAGAATGTTTGCACAAAGTAGTTCCCTGAATGAAAGAAATACAATGAGAGATGCTAATGAAGAGATGTCTCATTGAGGACAAAAATTTAGAA